TGCAAGCTGCCTTCTTGCAAATCCTAATTATACAGTAATTTAGTCTGTTTATAACATGTTTTTAATTTTCACTACATATTCTACTGTCAGAAAATCCTCTGAGTTTTTTTTATTATAATATTTAAATCATAACAGTAAGGAACAGTAAGGAACACGGGAACTCTGGCTTTGGAGACAAGGATTGGCTGGTGAAATTGAAATTGTTCTTTTGTAAGTGGGACACTCAGAAGAATTACCACTTGATTTTCATAACAGATGAGTTAGATCAATGTGGAGAACATCTGAAATTCTATTGGATTTTAGGAGCATTTGTAAAATGGAAGCAACATTAGAAACGCTGATGAACATTGTTCAAATACTAATCTAAATTGATGTTTTGATTTATTATTCAGAATTGAAATATGTCTTTATGACTCAGAAGTTGTTAAATTATTCCTGATAATCTAACATAGCTACTTGTCAAATATGTGCTATCAGATCAATCTTTAGTTTCGTTTTTTATATGTTCATACTTCGCAGGCTTATTTTTTCTAACACTAAGCTTCAATAGAAACACCTAGAGATTTGCTGTATATTTCAAATTGATCAGTGTTTTATAATTGTGTATGGTTTCTTTCAAACTTCTTGATAGTTAATAAATAAGCATGTGTAGCAGCAGCATGTGATATTGAAAGTCATACAAATAGCTTCCACCTCATCTCTTTCTTAGTGGTTCTTCAGTATCTTCTAAGGAGCAAGTACGGAGTATCCATTGCATTTCCTGAGTGAAGGCAAAAGGTTGGGCATTCTGCTCTATGGATAATAGCATGAACTTACAAGTAAGATGTGTTGTGTATTGTATTTCACTTCATGTATAGGAAAACACAGTTTTAATCCAAGATCCTGCTTGAATGGACTTGCATTATAAGAAAGGTGAAATGGCAGGAAGTGACAAATTAGTTTTACATGATCTTGAGTCTGCAGGGTTTTTTGTGCATTTTTCTGCTTCCTTAGCTCTAATCACACAATTCACATGCTCTTCCTGTGCATAGTGATACTAACTGTATTACTCATCATAAATTTCCAGTGAGATTCCTGTCTTAAATATGCTATAGAATCTAGACAACAAAAGCCTTTTCTGAACTTACAACATACTTTTTATCCTACTTTTATTGCTCAGCAATGCAAAATGCTGAATTGCTGTGACGTAAGGTATTACCATTTGTTTCGTTATAACACAGCCAGGAAAATATGGGGTAGATAGCTGTTATACAACATTGTGAGACTAGCCATACTTTATGGATCTGACAATAATGATTTTCAGTTAGAACATTTAGTAGTTTCCTCTTTAGCCTGTATAAGGAGCTCATAATCTCAACTGGTGGTTAAAGGAGTAATGCAACGCTGTCTCAGAGACACAGCAGGCAATATTTGCTTATTCTTTTTCTACCTCTGAGATTTACAGCATTGGAGGTCTTAATGTGATAGGGACAGTGTAAATTCACTGACAGGGAAGCAGACATCTCTATCTAAAATCCTGTGTTCATACAGTTTATTCCTTTGCATTCTTAATCCACTCAGACGTTTTTCTCTGACCTTTTACTCCTTTCAGTTTATCTCCTAGTACTGAACCTACCGACACCAAAACTGCTCTCTGCCAGGTTTTGCTTCTGACACTGTTTAGATAAAAGACCTATGGAAAAATCAATTAAAAAAAATGCCCAAATGGCATATGTATAGGTCATTATTCCTATCTTTATCTCATTTTCTAATAGCCATATATTTCCGTAACTATGCCCTGTTCACTTCAAATCTCTTAAAGCTTCAAAAATCTTCTTTAGATCCATGATGTGACAGACCACTGTTCAAACACAGTCTCACTGTTACGTCACAGAGTATTTTGGATTAAAGGTTGCATTGCTCGAAATCATTTATATGATTGGGGCTTAAATCTGTGAGCTTTCCATGTCTGAAGCATGTCCTTTTCTTGCAAAAACATTCACACACCATTTTTTTCCCATGTTAAAAATAATACTGATATGGAAAAAGATAGGGACAGAGCTGAACTGAAGTTATAAAGAAAACCAAGTGTTCACAACACTATGCTATGCTAAAGTAAGTTTAGAAATACTGTTTTGTTTCAAGAGATATTTTAAGACTTTTCTCTAGTTTCTAGCCTTTTCAAGTAATAAAAAGGAATTACATCCACTGAGAAGAGACAGTTTAATGTAATGGCTTATAGAAAATTTCTTGTCATAATTTTTAGGACATTATCAGATTAATTTTCAGTAAAAGTTTTTGCTTTATGGAATATCTAAGGATCTCAGAAATCAGGAAACTGATTCAGATGGTTCTGTGTGATCTCAGAAGAGTACAAGTTTTCAGCATTATAATTCTGATATTTAGATTTTTTTTAAGTGTAAGGATTTAAACTATTTTTAAAAACTAGTAAAAAATTTTTGTTACCCGTAGTAACCACCTGGCAGAGAACAGTTTTGGTGACAGTAGCTTCAGCACTGGGAGATAAAATGAAAGGAGTAAAAGGTCAGAGAAAAAAAAACTGAGTGCATTAAGAATGCAAAGGAATGAAAAGTATGAATTTTTTTTTACCAATAGTAAAAAATACTAACAGGGCTGTTATCTAAAAATAAGTAATGCATTGGTTTGTTTAGAGTTTCAACTAACAAAAATCTTAGTAATAAACCAAAGCAGTTTGTAAGGTGGTGTAACACAAAGCAATACTAGGCCAGGGATGTCAGCTTTAGCTTTCTAGGTTACTTATGTTCATAGAATAATTTTCTATTGTAACAGTAAGTACTATTAAAATGGTCATTCTGGGGAGGGAGGATAAGGCTATTACTTTCCCTTATACCGAAATAATTTGAACCCTGTTTGTAGTGCCAGACCTTAATGCAACTTGAATTCAGTTACTAGTAATGCATCAATGGGGAAGATGTAGCCAAAGCAGTAGAGGAAGAGCACTTCCTACTAGTCCTGCTCTACCTCAAGAGGTAACCAGAACCTGCCCTCATGATGTCTAACAGGAAGTTGTTTGATGTTAATGCCACTGTCTTCCCAGGGCAATGAAGAAATAGTCCGTATTTTTCACATATGAAAATCTATGTTTACAGTGGAGATCCCCCCTTATGAGCAGCAGTGGCAATTTCAGGTCTCTTGTCTGAATCAATAGCAAAATAAGTCTCCTAATTCTATGATTCTAATACAGTGCTTTTGGAATTAGAAGGCCATACTCAGTTTTTCCCTAAAAATTGATGGAATTGCACCCCTTTAAGTAACAACTGATTTGGATTTCATCAAAAACTGGTGGTGTTCATCACATGCCTTTTAAATAAACTGCATCTACAAAGCAGGGGGATTGTGTCCAAGCTCCAGGTTTGATTCTCTTGTATGCATTCCCTTTTTAGTTTCAGTCAGGTTTGGGTCTCTACTCTAGCTTCTTGTCTGAACTTCAAAAGTGTTTCTGAAGCTAACCACTGTCTAACAATTGCCACATTTCCTCCCACAGGCAGTTGTTTCACTTGCGGTTTAAGTAATCCACAGCATGTTATTGGTTACTGTGAGTTTGTCAAAGCATTAGTATTTAAGTTACTAATATCATTGAGAGACAAAGAAAATCTCATTCACCTCCAAAACTGAGTACTACTGGCAAAGAAACTCACTAAATGCTAGCAATTTCTCTATGGCAAGGCACTATTAAGAGAGAAGGATAGAGAAAAAGAAATATTGCTCTGGAACGAGATCGCACACTGTGTCACTGTTCTGGTATACCGTGAGAGAGAAACAGCTAAAATACAAATAGAGACTGGGATTTTTTGAGAACTTTTGACCACAATAAGTTTAGGTTTAGAACTTAAAAAAAGAGGTGAAAAGAGAAGACGTGCATGTGTAATACTGAAGGAGAACTTGTTTGTATCTAACATATTGGAGAAATTGTTTGAGAGCAGTGAAAATATTACTTTTGTAACACTGCCAAGATCAGTGTTTTCTCATTCATGAATCAGAGTTCTTTGCTCATTTGTGGCTGCTTTCTTCTCATCCCCTTTCTTTTCCTACTGTCTTTTTATAGCAAAAAGCCATCAACAGCTGGCTAGCTAAGCACTTGCTCAAGTATCAGTTGCGAGGGGTCTTTAGAACAAGTTAACTGGGCCTTATGTCCATTTACACAGAAGCACTGATGTGCTCTGCTTATTTGTGCAGTCTACACAACTCTTTGATTTTGTGTGGACACGCTGGGATTCTTTTGCAGCTATTTAGCTCTACTGGAGAAGAACTTGTGGGTCTTCTAGTAAGAAGTCTGAGAAAGGTGTTGAAAGGCTGTTCTTACTGCAGATGTGGGGGGTCCAGCACAAGCAAAAGCACAGTATGGGTTTAATTCCTGCCACCACATTAAGTGTGGATTCAAAGAACAAATGAGTGCATACTTTAAAATCTGGAAGAACTGGGCAAAAATATGGAGAACTAACTGGGTAACACAGGTGTAGGTGTCTCTCAGAAACAGATATGTCATGACTAAATGTCAGTACAGGTCTGTCACTACAGGTAGCCAGCACTTCCTTTTCTGTGAGGGATTTTCTGGCTCCAAGGCTTCCTTTTCTGTGAGGGATTTTCTGGCTCCAAGGCTTCCTTTTGTGAGATGGATTCTGTTCATATGAAACCTGGAGACTCCTGACAGTTACATAGCTGTGGATATTCTGTGCAGAAGAATATTGGCCATTTCATTATAACACATCCAACTAAAACAAAATGATAGTTGGGAAAGAAGGGAGGGAGGAAAGGAAGGGAAAGGAAGGCATTATTGCTTACCACAAAATGTTCCTCACTTTCTCTTCATCCCCTAAGGAAATTAACAGAGTAGATCCTTTATGCATGTCAGTCTGTGCAGGAAAGTTGCTGAAGCACTGACACAGAAATAAATCATACAATATATTGTACCTGGGTCCATTAAAATATGAGTGTGTGGGTGGCAAGGAGTGTAGTTCCATGTGCTTTCCACCCCACAGGCAGCTCCACAACTTCCTGTTGTGAAGGTTTCTCCTCTTTCATGTGTGGCTTTGTGAGGGAGGCTTGCCTTTCCCTTGGTTGACGTATTTGCAGCCTGTGTACAGTAAGTAGCCTTGTGCAGTACGCTCATCCAAAAAGGTTGCATATAAATTTGACTTATGAACTCTGTAGGGTGGTGTTATGAAGAATTAATCTCAACTAAGAATAATTTTTCATTAGTTAAACAGGAGATGACATAGTGCATGATTTTTTTTTCCAGACTTCTCAGTATGTCCTGTTCAGGAATCAGGACCAAAGACAATGTTATTTTAGTTCTTTTTGTAATATATTTACTCACTCAGAATGTGTTCTGTTCTTCTCAAAGTGACGCGTGTTTACTCAGAAAGGAGTACACCAATCACAATAAGAATATATTTTCTGCTTTAATAGGAAGTGTTTTCTGGCAGCCTGAAAGAAAATTCTGAGTCTAAAGTCTGAGCTCACCAGCAAAGTGATAGGCCCAGGCTTTAATGATTTACAATCAAATTGTATGCCTACTCTTTTGCTTGTGAGTTTTTGAACTAAGGGTCAACGTGAGGGTAAGCTGTATCTTGCTGAAACATAGACAAGTGTGGCTGAACCATTAAATTTATTCTTAGATTTATTAAGGAAGAAGACAGCAGAATGTATGAAAGTGTAGATCAGAGCCAAGTTTTGATCTTCATTGTGGATCAGATCTGGATAGCAAGGTAAATGTTCTGTGGTTGAAGGACTGTCAAGGATTAGCTAGAACAATTAAATAGATCGATGTAAAGTTCATATAAGTAATTTTTTTAATTATTGAAGTCTAAGTGTTTTGACCACTAAAACGAAGAGGTACAGAAGCCTGTTTGATGTCATGAGACATGGATAAAGAGGATGGAGGGCTTACAACATTTTATATTGGAAATACTTATCTGTCAGTCATCATCCACAGGCATTCACATTCTGTTGACACAGCAGTATTAAATTTTTTTCAGCTTCAGTAATATGAGTTTGTTTTACATTTCAAGGGATTTAGCTAAAAATTAGTAATAAAAACATAATACACTTGCAGTTACCATTTTGATTTGACTGGTACAGGTCAAAGAGCTTTGTATTGTATTGCCTTGGATGTGTAGAGTATACTTTGGATGGGATATTTCATGGTTAAAAAAAAAAACCTAATCTTTTCCAAATTGAAGGCAGTCACATTAAATTTTTATGATGTAAGTAGCATCAATAGAGCTTGACCAGGCAGGCACAGATGTCAGTTGCTTCATATACCAGGTTGTTTATCCAGGGTATTCTAGTTAAAAACAGTTGGGCTAACTTTGAGGAACCTAATTCATAGGTCTAAAGAATAAGTATACAGTCTTTCTGAAGAAACTATAAATCCGATTTGAATATGTAAACAATATAGATTATATGCTCTTCTACCATTTAATTTACTAACAGCATTTTCACTCATTCTCTGTCTGGAATCATATACAATTTAAATAAAAAATGTAAAAAATATCAACCTGTGGTTCAATAGTGTTACTGTGCGCTACTATATCTATTTCTTCAGCCTATTAAGCCTTTATGTAGCTCAAATAGGCTTTATATTAAACACTTTGGGAAAAATTAGACAGTTTACAGATTTTGATCCTCCATGCAAATCTGTTAGAACATTTTGTTTAGACACCAAATAGAGTGCATTTGGTGGATCCAAGTACCATGAGTCCCAGCTGCCTAATTTATGTGGGAGTGTGGATCTTTCATTTACACACCTCATTCCAGGCCACTATTTTTTCCCTTTATCCAATCTTCAATGAGCAGTTGCAAGTCCATTAATTACCCTGACGCTTGGAGAGCAGACAAGTAAGCTTTTCTGTTTCTGCCATAAATGCCACTCAATCAACCAGCCACTAGGTCATGCTCAAGTGCAATGGAATCTTGTTTTCCCCTCCCAAATTTCTAGTATCACCTCCACCGTGACTTCAGCTTCTTTCAGGCCAATGGTTTCACAAATACACTTTATGGGGTTGGTATAAAGAAAATTTTTATACATGTAAATATATTAAACATCACAGGAGCAGGATCTGGAGGTAATTGTGGAATTTATCTTTTTTCCCTAAAGCTTCTCTCACATTCTTAAAATTCCTCATTTTATCACTGTGGAAGTAAACAATATTGTAAAAAATATCCTAAAATTCAGCTTTTCTGAAACCACCTAAGAGATTGTATCATCAACATTTTCTCTCTTGTGAGGACAACAGCTACTGAAATAGAAGATTCTTTGTCTTTATTTGTGCATTTTCATCAACAGATACTGTTAGTTATCTTCAAATTTGGAGTAAGTAGATATTTTTTCAGAAGTATATTTCAGAGAAAAATGAAATTATATTTAATGAAGATTGTTGTCTCTGAAAACATTAAAATATTAATTTTCATACTTGCAGTGTAAATACAATTTTTAATTGAAAAATATGATCAAGAAAATAAGTTATTAAAAAGCCATGTTATTAAATAAGAAAAGCCCCTGAGAGATCTCTATGCAGAAGAAATTGTGGATATTTTGAAGGAGTTCCTGAGTCATTAGTATGTAGAGTCTTTTGTATGGAGTAGATTAACAGACATATCAAACTGAAACAAATCCATTTTCTTCATATGGGGTTTTGCAGCTTTTTCTACAGGCTTTCTGGAAATTAGGGAAGACATTTGCATTTAAATAAGATTATTTCTGATGGAAGATTATTAAATCATGAAGATGATTCCTTAGCATTTTAAGCTTTTTTGAAGTATGCTGCACATCTAAAAAGACTGAAAACCACTGGCTTAAACAGACATTATATAACCCTAAGAAGTCTATTATTTGTGGAATTTGATGAATATATGGATAAATACATTTGGTGCAGCACTCTTTCCACTGGCTTAATCAGTTCTATGGAATGACCTCACCTTGGTTCTTTCTCTAGCACCTTCCCTTTGAAGAATTTCCTTGCCTTTGGGCCACAGATGAGTTTAACAGTACCAATCTCTTCCAGTGACTACTACCTCACTTTGTGACTTCTACCACTGATTTGTGAACTGTTTACACTATGCCACTTTGGATGCAATCTTGCAAACAGTAGAAAAGTTGAAAAGATTGTTAAATTAGTGTTCTCTGTTTAAGGCATTGTACAAAACTTGCTCTACACAAATTGCAGAATAGGAAGCAAAGAAACAAGGGCCAGCTAGCAAATCAGGTATAGAGCTAAGATTAGAATGCAAATGTTTCTTTTCACTCCGTCATACTTCTTTCCTGCATTGTGGTTAATATTTATCCATCCTTGCTACTGACATGCAGCTACTTGGCCAGTGCATTGCCGAGCATCTGGCAACTGGACAAATGTACTTTACAAAGCACGGTGAGAAAACGATTAAGTAAAGTGGTGAGTTAATCATATTCTTATATATAGGATTGTGGAAAATGAAACTCGTGGTTGCTATTTATCATGAAAAGCTTCCATAAAGACTCAGCTGGTTGCTAGGAATCACCATGGAATGAATATTTGTCTGACTACCAGCATTTAGTTGAGGAATAGCAGAATAAAGGGTTGCTACCCACAGGGAGGATTTAATGATCTGCACTGGAAGCTGCAGGTGGGAACTTTAAGAACAGTTGAGGCTTATCCATTAAGGGTGCTAGACACAGGACTACAGGGATGATGATGCTGAGGAGAAGATTAAAGAATATAAAACCTGGTAGCTTCTGAGGAGGAGCATTAAACTGAGATCTGCAATAAAACTTTTCTCTTTCTGAGAGATTTAAAGGGATATCTACCATGAAATTGATTTAGTCATTACTTCTTAGGTGGAAATACTAAGTAAAAATTTATTAAATCACTCTAAAGGGGATCCACAATGACAAACTGTGACTGGAGACTGTCTTTTGAAATAAGGTACAGAATAACTTAAAAGCTCTTAAAACAAGCATATATCCTATAGGCATTCTTTCTATTCTCAATCATACTGATTTTGTTCTTCTTAATTAGGGTCTGCTTAAGTTTAATCATAGTCTTATCTAAGATCTCAAATTGAGGTAGGATAAATAATTTATAAGATACAACTGAATCTACGAGAATCTGAACCTACTAGAAATGGAGTTTAACTTGTAAATTTAATCTAAATGCAGTTATTAGAGTATTCATAATGTAATAACACATTTTTAATGGGTATCAAGGGTTTATTGCTGCCACTTACTGGGTTACAGTACACCAGATCATGTTGTGCTGATTTGAGACCTTAAAAGCAGGAGGTTTTGTATATCCTTATACACTCAGTACTGAATGTATATGTGGTGTTTAATAAATACTGTCTGAGTCTGACACCTCACATATCATATTAGCTTAGGTATTTTTCTTAGATTTACACAAATCACCCATGAGTTATAATACATGTAGTAATTAGTAGAACATTTTGAGAGGTGAAAGTCACATGAAATTAGTTGAAAATTACTGGTGTTGATCTGTGACACAGGAACTAACTGTGCACACCTATAATTTGCTTCATGATAAAAGAAAGTGGCCTTGCATTCTCTACCTTAAAAGCTTTTTCATCTGTTCATAACTTTAGCATGCAGGGATCCTTCCAGTGAGAGACTGTTACACTGTTACTGTGTTTAATCTTAAACCTGCTGATGACATGTCTTGGTTGGATTGTATTTTCTTGGGGTAATTTTATGGGACTACTGAAGTAAATTGCTACTGTGTTACTAAGGCCTTCTGATTTTAGACCAAACAGATTTGGTTGGAAAACTACGTTTTATTTGCTCATTCTACAGGCCAATTACTGTAAATATTTTAAACTCAATATTTAATTACGAATTCCTTAACAGTAAGGCACTTAAATAGCGCTTTGTTTAATATGCTTTTTTATATTATAGCAGAATCAAGCTTAATTATGTTAATTTCTGCATTCAGTGCTCCAAAGCAACAAGCAATAGGTTCTCTATTAAAAAACAGATGTATAGAGGTAACCCTTTTCGTCACCCACGTTATGTTATGAGTACAACAGGGTACTCTAAATGCTTTGGCAATGAACATGAAAAAAAAAAGCTGATCCTGAAAATACCATTACTTATTTTGAAATTGTCACTGCTCGATTTCCAGGCTAACACCCAGATTTAGCTGTGTATCTCAGATAATCCAACACATACACAAATCGGCCTAAAATGTCTTTTCCTTTTTCTCCATTCTATACATTTAATTTTTGGGAAAGGTGAAGAAAACATAGATAGAGGAAAAGAAATCAACTAGGGAATTTTGTTTATTATGATTGGACAGCTGCAGCTGGTTCACCACAGATCACTTTATGTTTTATTTTGATTGGGGAGATATCAGTCTACCAACCGTAATTTATACGATGCTGCTATTGCAGTTGAAAATAGATGACATTTTGCAGCTGACAGTAGTACTAGTTAAGGTGTCATTACCGAGCAAATTTTTTTATCCATGACATAATCAATGGTGGGTTTTTTTTCGTTTTTATTTCTGTATACTGATGTGTTGCCAATTCAAGAAGTTAACTTTTGTCGAGAATCATAGTGTCCCCCTGCGACTTGCTAGAGATTTAATTCTAATCTTCTTATGTTAAATTAATCACATATTTAGTAAATGCTGCTGCATAGCTTGCACACATGTTCAAAGTTAGCAATTTTGCTGAATCCG